CAAAGTCCTTTACCATACATATAATTTTGTAAAGCTATAATCATATGCACAATTTACAGTTTGCCTTTTTCAGTACTATCTTCTAAAAACCAGTGTACAATATCGGGAATTCTGAAGTTTCTACTTTAATGCTGAAATTATTTTGTTGGAAAAAATACAGCTTTGTCTTTGAAAGAAGCCTCAACAAAAAATTCTATCAAATGATGTTTGCCATCATTACTAGAGTCCCAGTGTTTTTTGCTGAGTGAGAGGGAGTTAAACATTCACATTTATCCACCTTACAGTCCCTTTATTTTTTCAAATCTCACAAGGTGTCCAGGTTGATGAATTATGATGTGGTGGTTATCTTACTGTGCCAAGAATGAATGCTTCAGGCAGAAAAAGCAGACCAATTGGAAAGAAGGAGGCCTTTGTTTACCCAAATGTGTTTTTAATTATAGTATTAACAAAGATAAAGCAAAACCAGGGAAGCACAAAATAACCACATGGGAGTCTAAGAAAATAAACATCCTGTTTACTTATTCTAAACCTATTGTTTCTCCAAATACTGGCTCTTTTTCTTCTTTATTAGCGTTTCCTTAAGAAACCCCAAATTAAATGTGCCTTCACTTTAACAGCCACATAATTGTATGGGGGGGGGGGGAATTACCAAATAGAAAATAAATCATGTTGACATTTAAAGATTAAAATGAAGCCACAGCTTGATCAAAGAGATTCATTTGTTGATATTTGTTCATCATTATAAATATTTCAAATCTTATGTAGTCAAAAGTCATCTATTATTGTTTTCCAGGAAGTGATAATGTCTTCTCCTATGTCATTAACAATATTATTCTTGATCAAGTTTCCCTGCATTAAAAATTTAAAGTGAAATGTTGCTATAGTAACTAATTTAGATCTGTGTTTTTCACCCTTATGAATTAAAGACTGACTGTATAGCATCTTGGGCAAGATGTCATAGACCTACATGGACACATATATACAAACAATATATTCCCCACCCCTTTCACAGAACAGAGACATCACTTTGCCAACAAAGGTCCATACAGTCACAGCTGTGGTTTTTCCAGTAGTCATGTATGGATGTACATGAAGAGTTGGACTGTAAAGAAGGCTGAGTGGCAAAGAATTGATGCTTTTGAACTGTGGTGCTGGAGAAGACTCTTGAGAGTTCCTTGGACTACAAGGAGATCAAACCAGACGATCCTAAAGGAAATCAATTCTGAATATTCATTGGAAGGATTGATGCTGAAGCTGAAGCTCCAATAGTTTGGTCACCTGATGCAAAGAGCCAACTCACTGGAAAAGACCCTGGTGCTGGGAAAGATTGAGGGCAAAAGGAGAAGGGGGTGGCAGAGGGTGAGATGGTTAGATAGCTTCACTAACTCAGTGGACATGAATTTGAGCAAACTCTGGGAGATATTGAAGGATGGGAAGCCCACTATGCTGCAGTCCCTGGGGTTGCAAGGAATCAGATATAACTTAACGACTGAACAACAACCCCTTTCACAGAGAATGTTTTCATAAAACCAGCAACACTAAAACAAGCATACATGAAATGAGTTCTATAAGTAGTGATGCTGTTTGTTCCTCTTAAGCTTCTAGGACATTTACTTGTGAACCACTTGGTGTACTTTATCCAAGTAATAGAATAATCTATTCCTGTTACACTCATGAACACTTAGGTGGGGGCTGTCTGTTTGGCTCCCATCCTGTTTCCTCTACTGGATCAATGTGTTCATAAGAGATCTTTCAGTTGCAAGCCACAGAAAATGCACACAAGCTAATTTAGATGGAAAAAGGTGTTTCCTAGAAGCATACAGGTGTTTCACAGCCTTTGAGGACAAGAAATATAGGCAGTCCCAGAGAGGGCTAGAACCAGGAGCTATCAAGGCCAACCACTGGCTCTCTAAGACCTTATACATCTCCTCAAGTACATTTGTTTCTTTCTTCTTCTTTCGATAGCAGCCTGGCTATTGGGGCATTTGGTCTAAATGAGCTTCTTCCAAATGCCTTCTCTGCCCGCAGTCTGCATGCTAATTCCAGATTCTTAAATTTTCTCCTTTGGTGGTGGGAAGAAGATAACAATTAGCCTTCACAGAGACTCAGGAAAGTGATGAAAGGAAGAGATTGAGAAATCTTTTAGAAATAAATATTGATGATACTTGTAGCACCCAAAGTAAGAGAGTAAAGCACACCTCAGTGGTTACTATCGATACTTAACTGCGTTTCTCTTTTTCTGCCCCTATATATTCAAATTAGTGAGTCATCTTGAAATCTACAGGCTTCCCTGGCGGCTCAGGCGGTACGGAATCTCCTGCAGTGCAGGAGACCTGGGTTCGGTCCCTGGGTTGGGAAGATCCCCTGGAGAACGGAATGACTACACACTCCAGTGTTCTGGCCTGGAGAATTCCATGGACTATACAGTCCATGGGGTTGCAAAGAGTTGGACACAGCTGAGCGACTTTCACTTTTTGGAAGTCTACTGTAGGAAATAAATCATTTAATCTACCTCAGATGGGACATGGGAAGGATACAAATTCCTCTTGAATAAATAAGCAAATAAATGTATGTTGTTCCTTCCTGGCACCTTAGTTGAGTCTTCATTGAGGACAGCAGCAAGGCCAAAGATAGGAGATCAGGGTCTCTGACACTTACCCAGCCACAGCTGACCCACCAGGAGCATTAAGAAGAGAGGGAGGAAGTGGGAGAAGACAGATTCCCTCAGGTGCTGCCTGGGAAGTGAGGAAAGAGCTGGGAGGAGAGGAAGGGCCCAGAAAGGGCAGGCTTGCCTCTATCAGGTGGCCCCAGCTGAAACTGACCAGGGCTGCTTGGGGAGCCTTCTTCACACATGAATTTCTAGAAGCCCAGAGGGCCCAGAGAAATCAAAATGTTACTGTCTTCTCCAGTTTGTCTATGGTGATTATTCTGAGTGTGAAGATCAGGTTCTTGTAAAAGGTTTACTGCCCAGATTCCTCATGGGAAAGTAGAGAAGATCAGGAAGATCAAGTTAAGGCAGAACCAGGAAGGAATTACTGTGTTTCTATGAGGCCATCCCAACTTTCAGCTCTACCGAGACTCAAAATGTGTTAAATATGTGATTAACAAATTGGACTCCGGCCTGAGGACCTTGTAATTCTACCCACATCACAGAAGCTGTAGTTAATTCGGTGTGTACAGGCTGGGGAGCCAGCTTGGGGCAGAATCAAGCAGAAAAAAAGTAACTTCACTGAGCCACCCACAAACTTCCCCTTTTGCTTATGTTTCCTTTGCTCCTGGCTAGCCCTTCCCACCTTTTTCTAAAACTTCCAGAAAGGATTATAGTCATTAGCTACTTAGTATGAATAGATATTATCTCTTCAGAGGCTATTTCCATTTTAACCTCATCTCTGATTGAAGGCTTCCCAGACTGTTCGAGGAATTTTAAAGAATATATTTAAGAATATGTAGCAATTCTTTGCTTTTCAAAAATTAGTCAGTCCCCGGTAAAATCACAGAAGCTATATTCAGAGTCGAGAGTCAGGTAGAACACAGTGCTTTCCTCTTTACTGCTAGACTGGCTTACTTCTCTGTTTCTTGGCCAACATCTGAACCCACCTTCACTCTGTTCTAGAACTCCGTATTCTCCTCCTCCCTTCTCTGAATCCACCACATGATCCAGAAAGTAGGGTCATCTTTGGTGCAGCTGGGACCTCTTGGGTCCTCCTGTTCTAACTTTGCCTTCAGTCCAGTTGGTTGTGGTCAAGACCATTCTGGTTGTGAGATATTTTGAATAGCAGTCCTACTACTGCACCTTTAAGTGCTCTTTTTACCCACTGACCTTACAAATTCAGGTACCTCCCACCTCCTCCATGTCAAGGGCCATCACAGCTAACTGAAGTCTTTCCTGAGATCTATTACTGCCAGCCAAGAATGGGAAAACAAACAAAAAACCTGCTGAATAATTGTTGTTGTTCAGTTACTAAGTCATGTCCGACTCTTCGCGACCCCATGAACTGCAGCACATCAAGCTTCCCTGTCCTTCACTCTCTCTCAGAGTCTGCTCAAACTCGTGTCCATTGAGTCAGTGATGCTATTCAACTATCTCATCTTCTGTCTTCCCCTTCTCCTCTTGCCCTCAATCTTTCCCAGCATCAAGGTCTTTTACAACCAAGTTGGCCGTTCACATCAGGCAACCAAAGTATTGGAGCTTCAGCTTTAGCACCAGTCCTTCCAATGAATATTCAGGGTTGATTTCCCTTAGGACTGCTTGACTGGTTTGATCTCCTTGCTGTCCAAGGGACACTCTTCTCCAACACCATGATTTGAAAGCATCAATTCTTCGGCACTCCACCTTTTTCATGGTCCAGCTCTCACATCCGTACATGAACTACTGGAAAAACCACAGTTTTGATTATAGTGACCTATGTCAGCAAAGTGATATCTCTGCTTTGTAATATGCTGTCTAGGTTTGTCATGGCTTTTCTTCCAAAGAGCAAGCGTATCTTAATATCATGGCTGCCATCACCATCTGCAGTGATTTTGGAGCCCAAGGAAAGAAAATCTGCTGAATAATAAAGTCTGGAAAAAACGAAGTTGGGGAAAAAAGAGTGTGACTACTTTTGGTCCTTCAACTTTACTATACCTAAGAATTACCTGGAGAATATGTTTGACCTATAGATTTCTAGTTTTTATCTTCAGCAATTCTGACTCCATAGATCAGGGATGTTTCAGAAATCTATATTTTTAACTTGCATCCTAGGTAAATTTGATGGAGATGCTATCTGAATCACACTTAAGAGATACTGTAACTCAACTGTTACTGTGAATTACACACTGTTGCCTGTGGGTAGGATGTCTGTTCTTTACCAGAAGCTTAGTTTATCAGGATTTTACATCCGTTCTCACAGCGTTAACTACAGATGATGACGATACTAGTATTCCTGATGCCTTATCATTGATTGGGGCTCCGTTCTTCCTCATCTTCTATAAATACCTTCTTTCTTGTTTTGAAATTACAGAGTCTGTCATCCCCAGTAGTGGAACATTTCACGTAAAGCTCCCTAAGAAACACAATGTGGAACTTGGAATAACCATAAGTTGTAAGTAGAAGTGACTTTTTTTTTTTAATTTAGAATTTTAAGGAGACTAGAAAGTTGGGTGTGGCCAGTGTCTTAAGTGTCATTGCCAAGTTTCACCTACTGATACAAAAGCATGGAGCCAGTCTCTCACTCGCCAGCACTTAATAGCCGTGTGAATGGGGCAAGTTACTAGGTTTCTACAGTCTTAGGTTTCTTTACCTGTCAAATGGAAATAAAGATATCTGCAAAATATCCTCATTTTGTAAATTATTCAAAGTATTAAATAAAATAACATATTTATATACCCAGTATAGCCCCTGGCAAATAAATACCCAATAATATGTGACTCACAGACCCCACATGAATCATTAGATGAGCGTATGAAGGCATGGAGGCTGTCTATATTTTAGTGCATCGCAGATTGTTTTCACAATAATCTGTTGAGACTATCTTCCCATCTGTTCACTATGCATCTGTAATCCATTTGCAAGAATAAAATCATGTCTTTTTCTTCAGTAACTTCCTGAATTTCTCCATGGCACGAGGTGCCTGGGTAACCAAGCCAAAAAGAAAAGCAGAACATATAAATGTGTTTAATTCCCTCTTTTTCTCAGACTCTAGATTTATAACTACTTTGGTAAAACAACTTAGAAAATTTCAGCCCCACTGGAATTCCATAGAATGGAAATTGATGTTTCTGTGCTTTTAATATCCATAAGCTAAGTTCATCCATAAATGCTCCAAGAAAATGAAGGAAATGATTAATTCATGAAGACCAAAGGAGACTTTGAAGCAACATCTGTGACCAAGGGGTGTTCCTACTGGAGACAGTGATGAGGCTAAATAAAGGTGCCTCACTATGCTCTGTCAGATAGCATTTACATCAGTGGCTAAGGCAAAAATAAAGAGTTCTCAAATAGTCGTATGAAATAGGATCTGTCCAAGTCAACGCTAGCAATATAAATTTAACACTGAAAAGGAAGTCTTAATAACTGATAAATCACACATACCTAATGCATGAAGCACGAAAAATAGAGCTACTATAATACGGAGTCAATGTTAAGAACAATAAGCCATATGTATGAGGGCCTATATCTCCCCCAGTCCCCTTAAATAGAGAGAAAAGTAGGACTGATGTATGTGATGTGTCTCTGTAGCATAAGCAGAAAGATGAACTAGGATTTCGGAGACTCCAGACCTGTTCTAGGTGCCGCCAAAGTCATTTATGCCTTTCCTTGGGTCACTAGCCCCTCAGTTTATTCATTACGAATCCAAGATGGTATGCCATTGTTCTGTCAACAGCTGTGCTTGCTGAGATTAAGAGAGAGTTCATCACAACTTACTACTCTAAAAATACTTGGGGCTCTGGGTGGCTTCTGCCACCCCCAAGTAAGTTTAACCCTGCTCTCATTTATTCTGTTTATTCCATTCCATTCATTTAGTCCATCTAATTAGCCATGAAAGTGGTACCCCTGGGAGCTGGGCAATGCATAGCCTGCTGGTTGCATGCTGAGGCCCTGCCTTCACCACGTTCTTTCCTTCCCTGCCTTCATTCAGCAAAGACTCTGAGTGCTGAGGCCCAGGCTGTTTTGAGTCTTAGAAATGCTCACTACTGGTGCACGTACAAAAGACACCTGTTCCTTGGAAGCTTCTGTTACCACATGTTTTGGTACACTGTTATTTTACTCTCAATTTTACTCTCAAATTTAACGTAAGAGAATGGTCTTTTTTAATGCAATAGATTCATTCTTTTTCTGAAGAGCAATTTTATTTATTTTTCCACTATGTTTTATCACAGGGTATTGAATATAGTGCCTGGTGCTATACAGTAGCACCTTGTTGTTTATCCATTCTATATACAGTAGTTTGCACCTGCTAATCCCAAACTCCCCATCCATCCCTCCCCCAGCCCCCATTCCCCTTGGCAAGCACAAGTGTGTTCTCCACATCTTTGAGTCTGTTTCATGGATAAATTCATTTATGTCATATTTTAGATTCCACATATGAGAGATATCATGTGGTATTTGTCTTTCTCTTTCTGACTTACTGCACTTAATATCATAATGTCTGGGTCCATCCATGTAGCTGCAAATGGCATTATTTTATTCTTATTAATGGCTGAGTAGTATTCCACTATATATAATTTACCACATCCTCTTTATCCATTCCTCCTTCAATGGACATTTAGGTTGTGTCCATGTCTTGGTTATTGTAAGTAATGCTGCTATGAACACAGGGGTGTATCTTTTCAAATTAGAGTTTTGCCCAGATACATGCCCAGGAGTAGGATTGCAGGATCATGTGGCAACTTACAATAGATTTATTCTTAAAAATTAATATACATAAAATATAATTTAACTATAAAGGAGAGTATCCCTTTAAAAGCTAATCCTGTGATAAATTCTTTTTTTAAGTCAATATTTTTCATGTTCAGTTTGTTTCAGGTGTGGCCATGTATGCACAACTACAAAATATTTTATTCACATAGAGAATCATATAAAATTATGCTTTATGATAATGTTATATATGTACTAAGTATTACTTCTTCTAAAACTGATTTTAATACCAATCATGAAAACAACCCCCAAACCCACACAAGAACTTCCTGAATTTCAGCAGCTGTGAGCTAAAGCTATCCACGGTTAGCAGTGGTGAGCTAAAGCTATTCATGGAAGCTAAAAGTCCTGTGCTATTCCTGGATGGAGAAATGATACGGAAGTTTGTCACACATGCCTGTCAGCCCTTCCAGAGCTCCGGCTCCGTTTACACAACTAATCATCACCATCCTGAGTCTGTGCTTCCCTGTGGAAAATACTCAGATTTTGCCAGTTGAGAAAGCAGAATTTGCTAAAGGGAAAAGCAGAATCCATTTCTTCATTATGAAATAGCAAATTCCTGAGGTCTAGCACAGTTCCTGGCACATCAAAGTGCGTGTTTCACTCCTGTCTTTGATGAGGGGGTGAATGAGGAGTCTGTCTCTACACAGTGTGGTTCTAACCCATGTGCACTCCAGGATCTGAGCCTCTGAGGGAGATGAGGAATACAGATGCATATGCAAAAGCTACTGCATGAACTGAAGAAGCGAGAATGTAGACAATGATGACTAGAAAGGACTCAGAGCCCCAAGTGCCCCACTCTCCAACCCTCTTGACCTCTCTGAACTGAGTTTCTTTGTCTGTAACGTGGTGTACTCCTTACATTCTTTGTAGCTTTATTGTGAAGGTTAAGTAAGTTGCTATATGTAAGGTGCCCAGAATACATTGTGAACCATAATGAATGTTCTTATTATAATAATAGATATTTCTTTTCCTCATAGAACCTCATGACATATTTTAAACAAATCACTACCTCACAAAATTTAGTGCCAATCATAATTATCCTACCTGAGGATAGGATAATCAAAGGACCCTCCTCTCATGCAGATACATAGGCACGTAGGAAAACTAAGGCACTCCAGGGGTTCTCCGGTGTTTCTCACTATTTTTATACAAAGTGTTCTTTCTGTAGCTGCATCTTGTGAAAACTCTTGAGTAGTGGGAAGCGGGCCTCCTTCTTGGGAGACATGCATTCAGACCCTTCACACTTGGCTTAAGGCTCACTCTTCATACCTAATTGACTGAGAAATGAGTCCCTCTGAGTTTGGATATGGTGAGCAGTTTTAGACTAATTTTCTTAAGTTCCTGATGAGACATTCATAGCACATTACCATCAGGCATTACTTTTATTGATGTTATTGCTATAATATGAAGTCATTTATAATGGCAAATAAAGCAGAACAGCCTAGCAGAAGGGTGCAGTTTGGAACCCAAAGCAGCATCCTGAAGCTCTGACACCTCAGCCAATCAGAAACCAGAGCCCATACCTTTCAACACAGCTCACCTGCCCTTCAAGTCAGAGATCTGTGGTTGTCTCTGCCATGTCTAGTTGTCAGTAAAGACCTTTTGGTATGGATGTTTTCTTTTGAGGTTTTATTACATAGGAGTTTTATCTGCTTTGTACCATGCATGGCACTAAATAGTTTATGTGTGTTTTCTCATTTCATCCTGAAAGTGGCCTGACAATATCTGTGCCCATTTTACAAAGAGGAAAGGAAGAGTCAGCTGGATAACCTGCCCAAAGACCCATAGCTAATAAAAGGCCAAACAGGGATTTAAACCCTTTCTGTTTGCCTTCACTTTGGCTGTGCTGTCAGACTACCACTCATCCCTGTCGCCCTCTGATTGATGAATCTTCCTGAATCCTAAATCACAAAAGCAAAAGACAGCATTTGGGGAGCTCAGTTAATTTGTCAACTTTCCTTTTTAGTTGACTGGACTGTTTGTAGGAGCAAAGGCTTTCTTTATTTTTTGTAAAATCATAATGCAGCCTTTCTAACAAGCACAATAAATCTGTCATTTTTGCCTTAAATCTCAAATGTATTAAGAAGAGAAAGCTTCATGTTTTTCTGGCCAATTTTGCTAAAAACTCTCCTCACTGCTTCATCTCAAATCAAATAACTAGTTTTACTTGTTAGGTAGTATGTATTTTAATGTATATATGTATATGATTATAATGAAAGTAAAACTGAATGATTGTGTGAGTGTGTGTGTGTGTGATTACTTCTCCAATGTAGTTTGGACAGTTTATCAGGCCCTTTGAGCAAAGTCCTTTGACTAGCAGAGTAAGTTCCATGAATGACTAGACATTATAGAATGCTCTTGGAATGATTCACATTTAATTAGCTTCAGACTTCAAGAGATTTCACCTGTCTTCAGATACAGAAAAAGTATTTTAAACAAAAGATAGAAACTATCATTTTCTACCTCTTCCAACAACTGTTTGAGAAGAAAAGAAGCCACATTCACTGTAAGAGCCAGTTTCTGACAGCGACAGACAACCAGTGATTTTAGAACTTGAGGAGTCGAAAGATGAGAGCTTGCCCACATGCACTTAGCTGTGTTCCTACCCCATATCTCCATTTTAAAATGGCACTATAAGCTTTTTCAAGAGGCAAAAACCCATAAGGAGAAGAGGAAAGGAAA